GCACTCTGTCAGTGATTAAGTGACTCATCTACCTCTAGTAAACAAACCCCCAGTGGAGCATCTTGCATCCATCAAAAGCTGCCTTTGACTCGCTCCGCTTATCAGACTTGGACAGAATCCATCATACCCGTACCAAACGCCGGATGCTGTGTGGTCTCTTGGGATTGGTCACATAAACAAACACGTTCCCTTCAAACTGCAGCCATACATGTGTAAAGGGAGAGCACCGTTTTTTTTTATTGACTACAGAAAGGTTTCGCATTCCCATATGTGTTACGCTTCAGGGAAATGAAACTGAAAACACTTAAAAGTTGTTTGTGACCTCATTTCTGGAGCTCCTGCGACAAACTTAACAAAACTTAAATCCTGGAAAGTTAACTGTTGAGAAAAAGGAAAACAAACCTCCTAAACTTCCCTCTTTTTTTTAAAGAATATGACGTTTTTTCTTCTTCATAAAACCGTACCTGAAGCATGATTTCTTGTGTTACTGCTAATATAAATGCAGAGCTGCTTCAAATGCATTATACACGTTAGGAAACCTTTTACAAGCCCCTCTGAGACCTGATGTATCCCAGCAGCTCTGTACATCCTAAACAGCACAGTCTGTTCTGTTCAAAAACCCAAGCAGGGCCCTTTGGTCTTTATTGATAGCTGCATGAGTAGGACAAGTGTGGTGATGTAACCGATCTTTCTTAAATTGCATGGGCTGCATTGTTGGTCCGGACAACCCCTCAGGCTCAGTTTGATTTCAGCAGATTAATTTAGCTTCCTCTCTTACGCAACACCATCTCAGCTTTCAAGCAGTCTCACTGATCTCACGCTCACCTTTGACTCCTTGCATGGGTGGCTAGCTGCTGTACTGCGCTCCCTTGATAACAGCTTAGAGAGGAAACAACACCGCTCTTGAAAAAGATCCTTAAACACCAGAATAAGACCTGACAGAAGGAGAAGTGTTTTGAAAGCGGGCTGCATTGAGGCACAGCACAAGTAGAAAAAGGCAGCAAGGTATGGCAGCTTTTTATTCATCTCTAAATGCAGCATGTAGGGTAGTAAAAGATCAAACACATACAAAGGTATGGGAATCCTGCAGAGCATGTGTTTGATGCGGATTATCACAGGCTAAAAAAAACGTTTGGCTGCTAAAACGGATCTCTGTCATAGTAGGTCACTGCTATACTGAATGGAACAAATGAACGTATCTAGTTCAATGTTAATTATACAACTTTATTATTATTTCATAATATTCATCCTTTAGTTAAAGCAAAAATAGATAAACCATAAAAGGCTTGATTACATAATAATTACTCATAGTTCACATAATTACTATATCAATAGGTAGGAAACCGGTGACAGTGACTTGTGTGCTGACATGTGTGCCGGGATGCTTTCATAATTAAAGATAGAGGTTATAGAGAAGCTATTCACAGAAAGGATGTGACCAGATAGAGTTATGATTACTTCATGAGTCTTATAATAAGAATGAGTGAAGGCTGATTGGTCTGAGCTAAGCGTGAGCTGTGTCAGCTGGGGAATGAGGTCACAACACAAGAATTGTACTTTGGAGAAACATTGGTGAAATGTTCTTTGGAGTAGAAATATGTTATCACTACAAATACAAAGTATATTTATTTTCTCAACATGAGGGAAACTCCAGTGTTTTAGAATCACTTTTAGAAAGCAATCCTACAGTTCCCACAATGCAAATCAAAACTGAAACTCTGAAATCTCAGGGTTGACAGGGTTATTCTATCTTTTAAAGGGGAATTCACCAATTTTTCAAAACAAATCTTGTTTTTGGGTCATGGGCAGTGCTACTGTGTACTTGAAAAAGTTAAATCTAGCCTTTAGTTCGACTTCAGTGGGAGTTGTAGATGTCCCATTGATTGCCATAAGTTATGTCAATTGAGTCACCGTCAATTGTAGATAAAAACTACAAGATTGAAACAAAATCTGCAGTTTGTAGTTAAAACGTGCTAACAAGACTTCTCGTGCTTGTTTCAGATTTCTGCTTTAGGCTAGAAGCTTGAGGCTACTTCAGCTACTACCATAACGCAGTCACATATTTCACCAAGCTGTCAGAGGCCAGGTTGCATTATGGGTAATGTAGGCTCCAATGTTTAACAATGGAAGAGAATATGTGGAGTAAAAAGTTTTAATCTCTACTTGTGCTGCATTAGTTATGATCGTTTTAAAAAAATGTCCAATTTGAGATTACCTCGTCATTGGACTCTGTTAAGTACTCTGTCAAAAGGTCCAACCAAGTCTTAAGGCCATATGGGGCCATACCAGCATTCTGACTTGTTTAATTAGTCCAATGATCATTATGCTTGCCCCTACAATCGATATTTTCACTGCCGGTTTGACTCACTATGTGAATACATCATGACTCCTCGAAGCCGAGCCGATATCATGAATGAGGATCATGGGAGTTAATTGGACAAAGAAGGAGTTGACAGCAGGATTAAAGGAGAAGGAGCCAGTGGGGGAAATGTTAGACAGCGGTCAAAAGAAGCTGGGAGATGTGCTCGCCGCTTTTATATTCTAAAGACGCTAGAAAGAAAAAACTGTTCTAAACCTTCATGCTGCTACGAGAGGAAAAGTAGAAGATGCACTTCAGATGGACTTCATCGGCCGTGGAGACAATCCCTGTCTGTTTTATTGAGTACCTGTTGGACATGTATTTCCTAGGAGTTTTAAGGCTATTGAGGAATGAAGGCCGACTGGAATATAAAGAGCCCCTGTTTAGTGAGTTGTGTTGTTACTGTAGCGCGAATCGATAGCAGAAGATCAATCTTCCCTGTCTAATAATGCGGTGTTGTGAAATTATCGCTGAGTTACGCTGTGATTCCCACCCCTAAAAGTATTGCTGCTAATTGACCAATGAAAATTGTTGGCGAACCCCTTTAAAAAATAAGCAAGTCAGCAAGTATATGGTAGATTAAGTTCCTTAGATTTATCTAAAAAGCCAAATCAAGGTCACCTAACCACCCCACAGCACTTATTCACAGCTCCACGCTCAATTTAACTACTGTAAAAAAAGAAAAGAAACGACTGCATCAACTCAAATTCCCAGCTGGACAGATGTGTGATAACAAACCCGCAACAGGTGAAGTTTGGCTCGGGTTATCAGCTGGTGCAGCATAAATTTCAGACCCCAGAGTAAGCGTCATTAAGAATAAAAATGCACCCTTCTGTTAAAGGAAAATACGAACATGTGCCAGTTCACAACACTCAGACTTTGATGTGCCCGCCCATATTTCAGAGCATAGAGTGTTTGCTGAACTGCAGCCAACGGCTAAGACAATACAGAGCCTTTGAGATATACCATGCTCTCCAGTAGTGACGCGCTCAGGCTATGGAGGAAAGCTGATAGCCAAAGTATCCTTCAGCTGACTGAGGACTGAGGATTTTCGGTTTAGGATGTCGATGTGGGGATGAAGTTGATCAATGTGGGAAAACTAGAAGAAACATTGGGATTAAGGGCTGCTGGCCTAATTCACAGGCAAAAAAAACTGAGTTTATTTATACATTTTGGGAAATCTTATTTTCAATTGCAAAATGGAAAAAATACTGTTACTTTTTCACAAAGTTTGACAAAGGCCACTCCACTAACTTTAAATCTGTGAGACTGATTGGAAGAAGATGACAAGTGAAACGAAGTAGAACTCAGTCTTGGATCAAAAGAGTGAGACATTCTTGAGTCTTGATTGCTAAAAACCACCCGAGACATGTCATTACCTGACATCATCCCTCCTCTTCGCTGTCCTCTTTCGAATGACCAACACACTCCTTCTTGTTCCTCGACAAGAGCTGTGTGCTGATCATCACCGTGAGGCCACTGAACCCCAGATAGCTGCACTTTGGTGCTGGATACCAAACAGCCCATCACAAGATAGCACGCTTCTCGCTGTCAGCCACACCGGGAGAAATGAGGTTAAATGGCACTATCTACACAACGTGGGAGCCTCTTCTATTTTTATTAAGGGTGATGACAGCCTCTATTCTTTGGAGAGAGGCCATGCATTTCTTGGAAATGGATATAAATAAGTACTGATTAACCCACGAGGGCTCCTATTTATCTACTTTGCATAGTTTAGTATTGTTTCAAAAATAAGACACAGCTGTTTTCAACACATTAAGTGTTTCAAGAATGCATCTCGACCTGCAATCCAAAAATAGTTGAGATGTTTGGATGCAGAGAAAGCCGCAGCTAATGACCAGAGGGGACCTGTTTACTCTTAATTTCTTTCATGTAATGACCCTTTAAACACCACACGGAACTTGGCGGAATAAATTTGAGACATTTTGAATTCTCCGCTTTAGGGAAATTTCTTTGATACTAATGACCGTGGTAACTATACAGTCCTCCTAATCTCCCACCATCTTTTTCCATAGAGCTATTTGGAGGGGTTTGGGAAAAGTAGAGCAGCTGTATGTAACATCACCTTTTAACCACTCACACTGAAGAAAACATCAACAGATGCAGAATGGTTTCCAGTTATTCTGACGCTTTGTGCTTGAAGTGCTTTGAGCTGAGTTCTTGAATGCTAATGTTTATGTTCAGAAATAAATTGTTCCTTCCCGATACCTGTTATGATATCTAGACTTTAGTATTGACATATTCAGAGTAAATTAAAATACTATGAAACTATATTTCATGTTAATGAATAACACTCTCTGCTAGCACCAAGTTGGTGTTTAAGATTTTTTGGGGGTGATGGTGTCAAACTGGTGCATTCATAGCATACTTGCTGATACCACATTTTAGGCAGTATTAGAGGGAGATCAGAACAACTCTAGTTCAAATCATGATGTTTACTGGGATCAACATGTTAGCGTAGCATGTCAGAGGGTCATACAGTAGAGGCATTTGGATTCCTCCAAAGTGGGCCATGAATGGCGACTGATGGAACAGCATTCATTACAGGCTACAGGCACCATGATGAAATGGCAAAAAAAATCTCTAATAGATTCTCCCTTGTTTTCATTGCGTGACTCACCTAAGAGCTGGACCCCTCTGGTGAGGCCGTAGACGTCTATGAGAGCCCACAGAGGTTCAGAGACGTGCACCCCGCAGAAGAAAACCATTGGGCTGGATTCGTTGATTCGGTAAAACACCCGGCCCTTCTTGTCCACCCAGAAGGAGATGATGTTGCCCTCATTTGAGAGTTCTTCCGGCAGGGCTTTGGCCCAGAAGCCGCTCTGAGAGACGAGGTCGGGGCAGGCATACTTCGGCAAGGTGTCTGGGTTGATCCTGGATGGATCTTTGGTTGTGAAACCAAGACGCAGGGCGCCGCTCCAGCAGCACTGTTTCTTGGTGATCTGCAGAGAAAATATTTGTGTTTAGTTATAGTCAACTTCTTTTTTTTTTTTTTTTTTATCTTGGAGAAGCTTTATCTTCTAAACTTTGAGAATTATTTTTAACCTTTTGTTTTGTGTTATAAACATTTTAATGGTTTGGCACCACCTTCTTTACGACACTTTATTAACCTTCACTCTGGGGAGTCCATCACATCCACAAGAATATCTTGAGTAGGAGATTGTATCCCTAATGTTAGCATGCTAACATTTAACCCACCATTTAGCCATGCTGACAGAAATATTATATAATGTAAGTATTTTCAGGTCATTGGAAACCCAAAAAACTATCTGCAAATACTACAAGCACAAGATGAAAATTCTAAGAATAACTACAGTCATTAGGATTTATCCTGAGGGGACTGCAATGTCTGAAACAGATTTTATTGCATTTTGTCCCATTGTTGGCATTTAGACCAACAATGTCATCCATAGTTGCCAATCTGGCAGCATGGCTATGTATCTGTTTTCAAGCAAACAAGACTATTAACCTTGGTATTTTAATCACCTGCAAACGATTTTTGTCTTATTTTGAACCTGTATTTACTCTGCTTTTAACCATGCCAGATAACAGTACTCCTCACATGGCAATGCTTGCCCTGCTCTCTCACTATCAGGACATAGATGGCTTGATAGGTGAAGTGGAAACTTGTTCGAAGCTGCTGCCGCTTTGGCCCACACAAGAGCACAGAGAGAAGAGAGAGAAAATCAAACCAGGAGAGTAAAGACGGGGGATGAAGAGGGAGACAGACGAAGGGAGGGTGAAGAAAAATAAAACACATACAGAGAGAGAAATCAGTATCGCATCAGTGCTGTATTGACTCAAAGTGGGTCAATTTTGTGAACCAGTGTGTAGCATGCTGGGATTTTAAATCGACTTCCTATTCTTTTCATTTTTATTTTTCCCCTGTTTACAGAAAACACATCCAAAACACAATCAGAATGCGATCTACTGGAACATGCCTGACTTTACCTTTAAGCGAACCTGCTCGTACACAGCGATAGGCCTGTTGCTGAAGGTGATAGCGTTGCAGAAGCTGGCCTGTCTCTTGACGGTCCTCTGAGACATGTCCATGACGATCTGTGAGCCTTTGGTACTGGGGTGGAAGAGCAGAGGGAAGGAGGACAAACTCCTGCATCGCTGGATGGGAAGGCAGCGCTTTGGTTTGTGGTGACATCGGTGGGACGTGATGGGAAAAGGGCCGTTCAGAGAATCTATGTGGAGAAGAAAAAGAGGCTGCTTATCTTGAACCACAGGTGGGAATTAGAAAACACATTACTGAGGATTTACGCAAAAAAAGAAAAAAAAAAAACTTAGATTAGATTAGAATATTAGATCAGCTAGTCTGTAGCACTGCAGGCTTCACTTTGAATGATCTACTTAAATTGTGAGGTGAACTCCAGGTTTTCGACCTACTGTCGGCTCCTGTAACATCCAATTAAGTAAAAATGCATTGAAATAATCTAATCCTTGGGTCGTGTTTCCAGCTCCCCGAGGTAGCACAGTGCAACCCCAAACCTGCTGTGGAGAAGAAAGAACTATGTGCAAAGTACATTACATGCGCAAATGTCCTTGGACTGAAAAACCATGCTGGACAAGGACAAAACTGCTTCCTTGTTACGTAATTATGGAGAATAATGCAGCAGTTAGAAGTTCATATAAAATGCTCTCATCTCAAAAAAAACGATCAATCCCTGTCTTTTTTTCTGTTCTGTTTTCTTCCCTCACCAAACTGCAATACAGTTTTTGTTTTTATCATACTATGTAGAAAGAATAAAATGGAGCAGAAGAATAAAGAAGACAAACATGTTTAGCGAATACATTAGGTGATTTAACAGGAACACTAGCACAGCAGAAAGCAAGCTTTGAAATCTTACAGAAGATCCTCTTACCTATACATTCAGCTGGCTGATACAGTATATTTAAAGCTACTCTTATTATAGCATGGCATGGCTGTAACATGTTATTCCCAGTTGTAGCTCATGTTCTCAAAGATGCACTTCAATCACGCCCAAGTCAAGAAGACACTACATTCCTTGTCAGAATGAAACAGAAAGGTTAAAGCGAAAATAATCACGGTTTCTTTATGAGATTTAGAGACATGAATCAAGCTAAGCCAGTCAGCGTAAGCGGTATTATAAGAGCAGACCCAAAGGAGAACATCTGACTCACAATACGCAGGAGGGTTTTTAATTTATTTCCCATGTGAACATGCATGAATCATTACTGCTCCCACTTACAGTAACTTATCAAAGGGCTGGAACATCATTTTTTTTTTTCACACCACATCTGTCTTTTTGGGTTTTGGACTGATAAACATTTGCCTTGACATCATTTCACACTGACTCCCTTTCATTAGGACGAACCGTCCACGTTTGTGTTTCCACATTACTCTCCCACATCAAGGTCACTGTGCTGGCGTGGAAGGGACATTTTCTCATGCGCACACATCATTGGTTTGTCTTCAAATTTAAGAACGTTGTTTAGCAGAATGAATGATAAAATGTAAACCTATGATCTGATCAAGTACTAAACTACATAAGTCCTCTCTAAAATGACATTCAAAGGCCTTAAAGTAAACTCAAATCAGGCGACTGTGCCAAGGCCGGAAGCAAAAATAAATAATTTTGGCCTAATTAACACTTCCTTGTCCTTGAGAACTGCTTGTTTTTTCACACCTCAAACTGCATGAATGTGTCAGAGCTGCTCGTGTTTGTCTTTGAGAGAGGTATTGACGTTAAAGCCATTACTTAAGATGATTATTTTTGCTTCCCTCTGAGTGACCTTGGAGGGTTGAAGAGGTTTATAATGAATGCTAGAGACAAATCAATTTGGACGGACAATGACTTATCATGTTACTTCTGACACCATGGCCACTATTGTTCAGATTTCAGGGCAGAGATGGAGGTTTTCAAGACACGATTTCCCTCCCTGGATGTTGAAACTCAAAATGTGTAGAAAGCAGAACAAGTCTTTCCCTTCAGTTCACAATCGGAGAAGCTCTGCCAAGGGCTCTGGGCTCAGTACAGTGTATTTGTTAAGCTCTTCGCATGCTCTTGTCCCTGCAGAACAATGTCGAATTGTGTTCTTTGTACAACAGTGGACTTAAATGAAGTCATAACAAATCCTTCGACCATATTGCAAACATGATGTCATGTCAGACGTGATGTCTTCAGGAAAACAAAACAGGGCTGTATTGTACTCCATCAAAACCAGGCATGAGACTGAATAGACTATTTCCTTTACAACATGAAAACAGAAGCAACACCTCACAGGCACCCGTGGCAACAATTAACCATTAAAGAATGTAACTTTGTTTTTCATATACTTACTCTCTAAATGTAATTTCCGGAGCCCCTTTATCTCCATGCACAGGTATCTTGGAGTGGGTTTACGATAATCACAGAATACAGACAAATTAATGTATAAACCATGTGTTAACTCAAATGCTTACATAAAATGATATATAAAAGTAGCACATCTGAGAAAGTGCAAATAGGGCTAGTTACAGCCAACATTGCTGATGATACAGTGGCTGTTAAAGTGTGTTTAAAACTCATGAAACCCATTGGAGATGGCAGAGTAAACAGGGACTATACCCCTGTATGCATGACCAAAATGTGCCAGGATAAATGTACCATGAGAAACTTAAAGCAACTTTGAGGGAACTGTCATTTCGCGTTGATTGTGGCGCCCCCTGTGGACAAAATAGTTGGTCTTTTTTTGCTGATTTCTCGGACTGTACATTTAGGTTTAGTATCTTATACAAACAAAATCTCATACCCTAATTTAACCAGATAACAGTCTTGTCACTTTGAAACTCTGCCTGGAAAAAAACATAACAAAGGCCTTTTCTGTATACATGTTGTGCATTACTGATGCCAATAGTTAAAGAGAATCACAAAAACTACCAAATATTCTTTTTCTTGAAAGTCTCATTAGGTTTGGTATGTCATGTGAAGGCATCTGTGTTTTATTGACTGTCATAACCAATAAAACACTTCTCAGAGTAAGTTTGCACCAAAAGTACACCATGTGACTGCCTTGACTTTCATTTCCAAGAAATGACACATTGCAGAGACAAACAGCCTTCCTGGCCTTGTTACCTGGCCTGTTGCGCTACTTTTTGTTGAATGTGGAGTGACATCAGTATCGAGCCTTCATGGCCATCTTTCACAAGACAAGCCCTCAAACAAGCCACATTCTAAAAGGACCAAAAGGACCTGATGTGTTTTATCTGCTGCAAGAATGTCACTGCTTGTGTGGTTTCAATGAGAGGTCAACAAAAGAAACTTAGAACACTTTAACATGTCCTTTCAGTATCGCTGTGTATAAGTACTGATGCTTTTACACTGCACTCCTAGTTTCTCCAGTGGGTTAGCTGTTAACTCCACCATCAGCATTGGGCTTCATAAATAAGAGAACCCAATCACAAGAACGGACAATGTTCAGGGTCTAAAGGAAAAGTTTTCACCTGAGAGATAACCCTCTCTGACCAACCATCCATGTACATGATCTGTAGATTGCTATGTAAATTCAACTGTATCCCTTTGTCTTCAAAATAGCTTAATGTGTCTGCAATAGTTTCCCTAAGTTCCACATGTCTTGTTTTCAACTTCATCTTCAAAATGTACAACTTACTCATCTTTAAGCACTAAAAAAAACCAACAATTTGTTTTAAGGAGCTAAAATCAAAATATCTGGGCACTTCTCCAGAAATTAAAGCATTGATTCACCGTCAGAATAGCTGCTCATATTTTCATTTATTTAACTACTAAATTATGAAAATGTCCATTGGCAGCTAGTGCAGTGAAAAGTAATGAATCACAAGTGCTGCTTGTTGTGAAAATATTTTAAATATTCATAAGTAACAAGCCAAGAACAAAAAAAAAAAGTTTTGGAAAAGGAAACAAGTGCTTGAGAATTAGCCAATTAGTGCGTTGTGACTAATGCCACTGTCAAACTGTTGTTCAGCATTTTCCGATTAGTGCTGAAATCAAACTTAAGTGTTAACGTCAATGAAAACCAGTTATGTACGGCTTCTCTTCTCTGTTCTACAAACATAGCACTTTGTTGGTACCTGTTGTTCTCTAGTAATCAGCCTGGTCATGCAATTACCATGTAGAAGTCTGATATTACGCCAAAAACGTCCTTAACGTGCTTAACCACACATCATTGTGTGATCCATAAACGTGTCATACAACCATGTAAGGTTGCCAAAGCAGAAGAGGTTTAGAGCTGAAGGAGTCCAGAGCATGTGAAGGGGTCGTGGCAAAATGACATGGAATACATTTTCAGGGTCCTGGCTGAGATCCAAGACTTTCAGCAGCACCCTGCCTGCACCCACATATTTATTCCCACCAGTGTCCTCAAACAGTGGAACTAAAACAAAATTAAGAAATATTAAGATTTGCCATGCAGTGTCCATCAGAGAACTGAGATGATCATCCAATGCCAGGGAATGCTAGGGACTCAAAGACACCAGTGGACACACACAGGCTACTGATTTGTAATGTCACTGAGTCATCAAATGAACAAAACAGTCAGTAGAATTAAATGAAAAATATGTCAAAGGGGCCCAAACTCTCAACCATTCCCTTATAAGTAATGTCAGAAGGTGGTGATGGCTGCCCAACCCAACGAAAAAGCCAAAGCTGGATACTTTACAATGCTTTTTGTTCAACCATGAGTCCCAAACTGTTCCTTTTAAAGTCATATAACCAACAAGAAAGCAGAATATCATCACATATCTTTAGGAACCAGAAAGCATTTTGCATTATTGTACTAAAGTAATTTTGCTGATTATCAAAATATCACCTGGAGAATTTTCCAACAATCATTTTGTAGCAACTTGAAGCAATGAATTGACTAATTGGTTCAATTCTGATTAAATTGCACAAAGTTCATGTTTTTGTATGGAACCTTTAAGTTATTTTATTGTAAAACGTTTATAATGAGAAGTCTGGAGCTACTCATGTCTTGTATGCATCACTGTAAAGTAAAAGCACTGAAAAATAAAGACATCTAATAGCTAAATTCTAATTTCGGTGCCAGACTTTTGAAAGAAACATTCAATCATAATTTTAACTTTAAAAACTATTTAGTTATTGTATAAACGCATCCATAAAATCGCCTATAGTGCACCTGTGTGGGCTATAAGGCCGTTAGAGACGTGTGTGAGCAGTTGTTGGACACGTGTAATGAAACAGACATAGACGATAAAGTTGTGACAATATTTGCCAAAGGTGGGAGAAGTTATGAACCAACTTGGCCCCAGTGTGTCCTGTTTGGTATAGCTAATTTCTAACTTTTAATAAGCAGGGTGATATGGATATTATTTGAAGACATGATGCAATTGTATTGGTAAACACACATCATTTAATTTTATTTCGTGACTTAGGCTATAGAAAGTGATTAAAAAAAACTTGGCTAAAGCAGCTCACTTCTTATTTATTTTCAGGCTGCCATACAGGACGCCTATATTTCAATGCACACAGACTTAAAGCTGCAAGATCATTAACTCGGTTATATCATTTTAAATATACATTATTTTTTTTTTTATATAATAAACAATCCTGCCCCGTGATGTGCTGATGCCCTTACCGTAGAGGGTGTTCCTGGTGATTTGACCCCCCATGGCTGGATGCAAGGTGCGTTCACCTCTCCTCTCACACCGGCTGGATCCGCGAGATTCACGTTTCAGCTGCGCGTCCTCAGCAGCAGCAGCAGCAGCAGCGGCATTATACCGACACGTTCACAGAAATCAAAATCCAAAGCAGACAGGTTGTGTGTCTCATCCACATTAAGCTGCAGTCGTGCGGGCTGCAGCTCATAGACACAGAGCTCAAGCTGCTCCCTCCTGTCCGTGGACCGATCACGCTGAAATTAGCATAAAAGGTGGTGGTGGAGGTGGAGCTATCCGGGACTATTAACGCTGTAGCTACCGTAGACAGGACCTCAGGAGTCTCAATGAATCACTCATTGTATTCCCACAGACAAGTCGATGAGCCTTACACCTCTGCTGTGATATAATGCATCATAGGGACTTATTTAAAGGGTAACTAAACCCCATATTTCCAGATGAACTGCTCTACCCTGGAATTTCCAAAAAATGCATTTAGAATGTCAATGTATATAAACTTTTTAGGGTTTAGTTACTTTTCAACTAAAACACGCGAATTGATATTTTTCTACCTTTTATGAAGCTCTACGTCATCGATCATTTCTTCCGCTTACTTTCCCGTAACAGCGCAGAATATACCCAACATGCAGTTCTTAAAAAACAGGTTTTGGTAGTTTATTTTTATCTCCCCATCTGGTGAGAAGACTAACCTGTTTCCTACCCCCCCCCCCCCCAAAAAAAAAAACATCATATGAGGTTCAAGTATTCATAACTTTTGAAAATATATATAAAAGTACAGGGAGATAAATATTCCTGATGAAAACCAAAGACCAAGAGATTTTCATTTTAAATAGGTTCAGGAAAACAGCTCATTTTCACAAAGAAACAGTTGGAATACTTGTCTTCAGTGTTGATGATTTTTCACGCAGAGAAGTTTAAACATTTCTAGTATCCCTTGAAATAGGAAAAATAAAAAGTGCATATGGTTGAGAATATTCCAACAACATGATCTTACATTTCTAGTTGTTTTGGCACTAACCTGCTGAAAAACCACTTCAAGGACCCATCTGGAGGAAATGAAGAACCAAAAAAGCAGAGATTAAACTCTACGGGGTGTTTCTTCTGAACACTGAGGGTTTATGTTAATCTAAAAGCAGTATTTTTTACTCAAGATAGAAGTATATTTAAGATGCAGTGATGCTGATGCATTATGACTTCTTGTTTTGGTGGTGGGGTTGCCACGATGACCAGGCGGAGACACCGCTGGCGTCAGGCTCAACATGATACTGGAGCTCAGTCACCGGGCCTGAGTCGAAAACTGGGCAGTACGTCTACTTACATTATAATTTTGGGAAGATTTTCTCCTCAAAGAAATGGTTTTTAGTAAAGGAACAACCTTTAGGGCTTTCCTGAAGTGTTTGGCGTCAGAGTTTTAGTTGGCATGATGACCTTGGTGTCTAGCGGGGAACTCTCAGGACCTGCCTTGTCGCCCGAGCGTTTACATAACTGGTGTCAGCAGCCAGGCCTGTGAGACACTGTATTGGCTCTGTAGCATGAGCTATATTCTCATGCTGTTTACACAAACTGATTGCGGTTAACTCGACTGTCTGTAAGCAATTTGCTGAATGAGGGTAAAGCCATAGCACTGGGGAGTTTTTCATGCAACGTTTTGCATGGTGATTTTCAAGGAAGGGCGGTCAAACTGATTTTATTAGTCACAGAGAATTGAGATGAATAAAAAAAATTCAAAGCAAAAAGTGTGAAGAGAACACTTAGGAATTTATGGCATGGACCCTGTAGCTATTGCAGTCACACTTAATGGAGTTTGACATACCACCTGATCGCTAGGGCTGTCAAACGATGACTGGATGTTCTGTAATACAAGGAGAAGTGTTGTTCCCTGTGAAATGATAAAACATGATGCCTTGTGTCCTACAGTAATATCTAAGCAGCATGCCTCCAATCAAGCACCGAGAAAGGTTGCCAAACATCCAGTGGTCGAAAACATTACTCAAAAAACAAGGATAGGCACATTTTCTGGTCTAAATATAGCTTAAATGCACCCTTATAATTCTACATGACAGAAACAAACCAATCAACATTATTTTATTTTTTTTATTTTTTTAAAGGTTAACTTTTGTTCCTTTATGTCTTTATTTTAGAGACAGGACAGTGGATAGAGTCAGATATCAGGGAGAAAGAGAGAGAGTGGGGAGTGACATACGGTAAAGGAGTCACACTTCGGATTTAAACCCATGGCTGTCCGCTTGGGGGACCACAGCCTCCGCATACAAGACTACCGGCTCTCCACACTCAACGTTCTTTTGATAGACACTACTCAGTTCAAATGTTCTATCACTTAATGTTCCAACACATGGGTCCAACACAAGACACCAAAACTGAAGGTAGTAGCATTGATTGGAGTGTTTTTCTGTTCACGTTGCATGTACAGTATTTGTGGTCGTTTTGCAACTCCTTGTGTTTTTTTTCTGTTTGATGCAGGTCTGCACTTCTTTCTTTTGAAACTTCATTTGCTTCGTGTCTCTTTACGGTCTTGGATCATCTCTTCAGTTGTTTGACGATTCATTGTCTTGTGTGTATCTTTGACCTACCTATATCTTTTGCAAATCCTTAAGTGTTGTCGGTCTTTGTTTCACAACTTCTCATGTTTGTTCCTCTTAACTGCAGTTTCTTATTTCACTAGTTATTTAATAACATCCTTTCTTTTGTCTTTGTATGTCTTCTTATTGTAAATGTTGCCTTTGTCAATGTCTTTGAAGTTGTTTTACAACTCATCTAGGAAATTTGTAGGCGACTCATTTCTTTGTAGTCATTTCAGAGTTTTTGTAGTTTTGCATCACTCTGTGTTTCTTCAGTGTCTTTGTAGTCCTCTAACATAGCTTTGTAGTTGCACTGAGTATTACTGGGGCCATGAATTTTTCACTTTATTTTGCTTCTCTCTGTAGTAATTTGATTACTCTTGAACATTTAGAATGCTAACAGGCACTTTAAACAGAGGCTCTGGGACCAGAGGCAGCCGAGTCTTTGCATTGGGGCGACTATTCAGTTATCCAAATGGAGCTTTTCCAAAATGGCTCAATTTGTTTAAATCCAGACGCTCTTACAATCTCAGCACTTTTAAATGATCGTCAGTGTAACCTATAGTTTTCAGTGATAGCCTTTAGCCTCTCCCTCTTAATTAGATGAACACTTTTTACCTGACACAACAGACCGACGCCTCCTCCTCCCACAGTAGATTATTTGGGCTCCTGGCAGGCAGCAGCAGCAGCAGCCTGGTTGGCTGTGCTGGCGTTGGGCCTCCTCAGACATCTTGACAATCTAGGTTGAGACAGCCGTGCGCATGCTTGCTCTCTTCGGGGATGATCCTCATCGAACAAAAACACTATTCAGCTCGGAGTTTGGACCCTCGCCCTGTGGCCACATGCAAAAAATTACAAAGTAACACAAGAGCATCATATGATCCTCTACAAGGGGGATCAGCAGAAAAGAACCCCCCTCCAGCAGGCACGTATCAGAGGTGAAATCAAGTATATCAGATAGTGACAGTGACATAATTAAGGATAATGGGGCAGAGTTCATTGATTATGAGGTTGTCCTCAGGCAAAGATGGGACAGTCATCTAAAATGACCAGAAAACTGTTTATTTATTGGCTTAAGTGTTCGCAGAAGGAATTTTGACGACAGTTTATAAGGGGCTCTCAGTTTATCTGCAGGACGTGCCAAAATGTGCAGACAAACAAACACATACTCAATTGTTATACAAAGCAAAAACGGTATGTGAAACATTGCTGCTTCATTATCCCAGTTATTTTTCAACTCTCTCACTTTGATAGACAGTTTCCCGGTTGTTGATATTAAAAAAAAAAAAAAAGAACATAACAGCTTTATGAGCTTGGTTTGAATTTTATTTAGTCTGGCAATTCAGTGGTGTGCTTTGATCCGGAGCCTGTGGAATTGAAGGATCATCTCTGAGATTATGGTGTGTTTAAAGACCTGAGGGACTATATATTAACTCCCAGGGAAGTGAACGTCTCGTTGCAGCTCTTCAATCATTCAATAACTAAGCTCACGTCAGCCAGAACGCAGCTTTAAGTATCCTTTTTTTCTTGACTTTTACTGTGCAGCAAGCAGTTCACTGCAGAGTTTCTGATATTCTCTGAGAGTAATTGCTGCTGACATGTGATCAAGATGTAGAAACGCACCCAACACCACAAGTTGCCTGCTGACTCAGGGCAAATGTTTTCCATGAAGATTTCCCTGAGAGGCAGGACCACAGGGTAATCTAGGTTTGTCCTGTCAAAATATTTACAGTTGAATTCATTTGATTGTTAACACCAGTGAGGCTGTCATTTGTGAAAAACACTTTTTTAATGTTGCACTTTATTTGACTGGATAGTGGGAACTGTATTATTGTTTTTTTAAATAAATACATTCTTGACTGGTGACTGTTAATGAGAGAACCTGCCCTTGTTTTCGCTGCTCTGTGAGTAGCTGCATGTTAAAAAAATAACGTCCACTTCAGTCATTGTACTGACAAAAGAAAATCTCTAATCTAATATCTAATATCACTTGTATAGTAGGAGGAACAGTAATATTTGGATATGCTTTCATCTAAGTCAGTGTTAACTCTGCTGTATTTAAATCTATGTAAGTGTGCAGCAAACGTGTGGCTCTGTGATTATTGTCACAATAATGCACTGATTTGTGTTTAGAGTGATGTACGGTAAAAGTCATTATGTATTTGTTTTCTTCTTTTTCCACAATTTTCCTCATATTTAAAGACATTCATCAGTGTCTTCTCACCCACATGCTGATCAGAAACGTTTGTGTGATTTGAATAGCTGTTAGACACACACTGATTTAGCCGCTATATTTCCATCCCAGCCTTCTCCCAGGCTGCTGAAGTCAAATAAACTGTCATTTTACAGCTACAAATCAGCATAAAATGTCCATCGCATTTCTCAAACATGAGTCATGAGCCATAATCAGGTGCTTCCAGCCAAACAATGGCGCCGTGGGTCCAGTCATTATCTCAGTTTTTTTTTTTGTGAATATGCTTTGTCTTCAAAGGTACCCACACTCACACCAGACCCTGTCACCAGAACACGGTTAGTGTGGGAAATAATGAGGTATTCAGGGAAACTTCATGGGCATTTGTGATTTTTTTTCTGTATGTCTAAAGAGATGTCCCCATTAACATCAGTAGTTTGGGAGAATGG